CGTATTATCTTCTAAGGTATACTTTTTAATAAGTAACACATTCATGTTGTTTAAAAATAAAAATAGCTCTGGCCGGTGTGGCTCAGTTGGTTGGAAATCATCTCATACACCAAAGGTCATGGGTTCAATCCCTAATGTTTCTCTCTCTCTCTCTTTCTCTCACCCTTTCCCTCGCCCTTCCTCTTTCCCTCAAAAAATCAATAAAGGAGAAAACAAAAACAAGAGAAAAAAAGAAAACAATCACTAAAGGCATGTCTGTGAGTGAGGATAAGAATAAATAAATAAATAAATAAGTAAGTAAGAAAACTACCCAGTGAAAAATCTTGCTACTACCCCTGTCTTCTTCCATCTCAATTACTGCATGACCCTCCTCTTCTTCTAGAAAATCTACTGTAAACTCATATGAGAATGAGAATAAAAAGGGGCAAATGACATATTAGTATATTTTTAAAATAATTTTGACCTCATGGATCCCCTGAAAGGGTATCAGAGACATTTAGGGGTTCCCAGAGTATATTTTGGGAATTACTGTGCCAGCCTACTAGCAGGTAGAAGGCTTTTTATAAAAACTAGATGAACAGATTAATTTATTAACTAATTATATACTTATTTAGAGATTTATGATTTTTACAACCCTGTCCATGAGACAGTTTCATAGTATTAATTATTTATAAATTAAGCATATATAGAAGTTTGGAATAAAGTATATTGGCTCCCAAATCTACTCTACCCAGCTCTAATTCTCCTCCTCATGGAAACCATGGAAGCAGTTTATTATACATACTTCTCTCCATGTGTGTGTGTACATGTATATACAGAAGAATACATATTTATATGCACATGTGTATTGGGGCTTTAGGTATGCCCCCCCCACACACACACAGACACATATAAATAGGTGTGGAGAGCAGCTACAGTGTTTGGACAGGTTCAAGCCTTGGACTAATGAGAGGGCACAGTCTTCTCGTAGCCACGTGCAAGTCCAAGCTTGGAGGGCAGAGCCCTCCCAGCACAATTATAGCCAACAGCTATAGTTAGTTGTAAGCTTGAACCTATGGTCCGAACATGTGGCCCCACGTGCCTGAGTGATGTGGGCTTGATAGAGTTCAGGTGCATGTAGTTGAGTAGGATCAAAACCCATGAGAATGTTGTAAACATATTGACCACGCCCTTACTTTGCCTCGTGGAATCTGGCTATAAAATAAAGACACGGCTTGTAGTCCGTGGCACTGTCTCTCTCCATCCGAGAGGGCAGTGTCGCACCAAGACCCAGCTTTCTTCTCTTGTCTGTCTTTTCTCAATCCTTCACCGCCCCCACTTAGGCTCACGGAACCTGGCTGAGCTGGCGCAGCACATAGGCGCCCAATGTGGGGCTGAGTATGCCATGGCCATGCCAGCCCGCCACAAATAGGATTGTGCTAGATAGATATTGTTCTGTATTGTGTTCTTTTTATTTTACAGTCCAAAGATCTCCTTATATTTTCACACATACACGTATTTCATTCTTTTTAACAACCATCAAATACAGTAACAACTCTGTGACATGGACATTTTCTTATTTTGAGGGAGAAGGGGAGTAAACCAAATTCATTCTTGTTTTCATGTGGATAACCAGTGGTACCAACTTCATTCATTAAACGGTACTCCATTTCCTCCTAGTTTGAAATACCACCTATATCTTACATCAGACTTCCATATATGCATAGGTCTGCTCCACATACTATTTCATTAATTGATTTGTTATTTCTGGATGCAATTTTAATTTCCATATCTTTATAATATGTATTGCTATCTTAGAGGGTAAGTCCACCCTTCCTCTAATTTCTCTTTTAAAATTATTTTGACTGTTCTTGTATGTTTACTATTCCATATACCTTATTTCCACAAGAAAATAAAGTATCTTTATTATTGATAGATCCTCCCTTCCCCCAACTGGTGGGCGGAGTATGACATAACCTGCAGCCCAGAAATACCTGAGTGACTAACCAGGTACCTTATATGGACTATACATTGGACCACCAATCCACACCTGCCAAATACCCTAAGCCCTTGTCCTATATGGACAATGCAGTAAGCCACCAATCAGTGTGCGCCGAGTACACTAAGCCCCCCACCCCTTCCCATTCCGCCCCTCAAAAGGCGTGCCCACCCCTGCACGTGCTGCTGTCCTCCCCTTGTGAGACAGCCCGGCAGGTCCTTCTCCTCTAATAAAGCCTGTAGTCCTGGTTTTCGGCCTCTGTCTGATTTTTCACCTTATGTCCTTAGTCTGTGTCATGACCATTAATTCTATTTTTTGTTTATACCTCTATTTTTCTCAGTCTTATTTTTATCATAGTTAATTGTATAATAATTGTATTTCTTTCCCCAGTGAAGTGTGGGTTTACCAGGGACAGTGTTTGTGTTCACTGCTCTTTGTCAGCTGGTGCCAAGAATACAGCCCAGAGCCTTGGGATGACATGAAGGGGAGAGAAAAGGTTGATTTTGGTGAGAAAGAGGGTGAGCTATATTAAGACAGGGCTCCACTTTTTAGCTGGAACCACTATCTTCCAGTAATTCATCAAAATGACTAACACAAAGGGAAAGAGGAGAGGTACCCGCTATATGTTCTTTAGGCCTTTTAGAAAACATGGAGTTGTTTCTTTGGCCACATATTTGCGAATCTACAAGAAAGGTGATATTGTAGATATCAAGGAAATGGGCGCTGCTCAAAAAGGAATGCCCTACAATGTTACCAAGGCAAAACTGGAAGAGTCTACAATGTCACCCAGCATGGGGTGGGCATTGTTGTAAACAAACAAGTTACAGGTCAGCTTCTTCCCAAGAGAATTAATGTACAGACTGAGCATATTAAGCACTCTAAGAGCCCAGATAGCTTCCTGAAACGTGTGAAGGAAAATGATCACAAAAAAAAGGAAACCAAAGAGAAATTGCCTGGGTTCAACTGAAGCATCTGCCTCCTCCACTCAGAGAAACACACTTTGTGAGAACCAATGGAAAGGAGGCTGAGCTGCTGGAACCAATTCCCTAGAATTCATGGCATGGTAAGTGTTAAAACACGAAAGACCTCTAGCCCTGGCTGGGTAGCTCAGTTGGATTGTCCTGATACACCAAGGTTGTGAGTTCGATACTCAGAGCACATAAAAATCAACCAATGAATGCATAAATTAGTGGAACCAAAATTGATGTTTTTCTCACTCTCTCCCTGCCTCTCTCTCTACAATCAATAAATAAAAATTTGACAAAAATCAAAGACTGTTAAAAAAATGACTGGATGCCAGAAGAAGTATTTATTTTATATATTTTGGTTACTTAAGTTATATAAGCAATCATCAGCCTCCTAGGAAAGATTAATTTATACTGAGGCCAGTCATCCCTGTGTTCCAGGAAATCTAATGCAATTTTGCTTTAAAATTAGAAAACTACACAGTGAAAAATATATTGAAGGTCATGCAAATGCAGAGTAAAGAGCTTTTTGGAATGGAGTTGAGGTCCTCAAGCTAAAGTGCTCTTTGTAATTCTAAAACAGTTGTCTTGATGCTGGGCAGTATTGTGTATCTGAATTTTGTCTTTCCTTAATACTCTCACTTAGAGAAATGTTTGTTTCATAGATTGTGTATGCTCATATTATTTTGTACTCAATATCCTCTTTTAAAAAAAGTTACACGCACACACACACCTTTATCACTAAATGAAAGCTAAACAGAAAAGTACTTAAAAACAGACAGAGGAATCCCTCTCTCTTAAAGCACATGAAAACACACATAATACAAATGTCAAACATAGCACACAATTCAGATTTGTTCTACATGATATTTTTACTAAAAGAGAATTCAAGTGAATTGGCGAGTGCGTCTTTTTCTAAAACCATCATGTCAAAATATTGCCACTTACAGAATATTTATTTAAGTATGCTTTCGAGTGGAAAAAAATTATACTAAAAAATAAGTTGTCAGGCCTGGCCAGCCTGGCTCAGTGGTTGAGCATCGACCTATGAACCAAGAGGTGACAGTTTGATTCCTGGTCAGGGCATCTGCCCAGGTTGCCGCTGGATCCCCAGTGTGCGGCGTGCAGGAGGCAGCCAACCAATGATTCTCTCTCATCATTGATGTTTCTATCTCTCTCTTTCTCTCCCTTCCTCTCTGAAATCAATGAAATCATATTGATTTGAGTTGTCAGAAAAGTGGCATTGTGGTAAAAAAAAAATTGTAAATTTTAACTATGGGTTAAGAATGATAAAGAAAAAAAGATTTAGCCTGATGTGTTGAAAGTTCATTATGAAATCTCCAATCATTTACTAGTAATAACTGTTAAATGTTCCATCCAAGTCTTAGCTATCACCATCAGGAATGGAATGAAGTGCGCATGCCCATGCTTGGGAATCAAGCAACAGGACAGGAGAGGCGTTTACTTATAACCTCTTAGATCAGAAGGTAATGAGACATCCTAAAAGCTTCTAAAGAGAAAACCAACGAACAGGTCATATGTAATGTACCAAGTGTCAGAACAGAATCACATTTCTCCAGAGCTGCAATGGGAGAAAGCCTTCAGAATGACGAGGAAAAATTATTACCAATTGTCAAAATGTTTCTTTATTATTCATTTGAATTTTTAAAAGATAACATTCCCATTATGCTGAACGCCTGACACTAATACAAAATCATATTGAATATAAACTGTAATTGAAAAAGATTTTTAAAGTTTAAAGCTGCTGCAGAATTAAAGGAAAAGATAACATTGGTTTATGGCTTTATGATTATAAGTATTCTTGACTCCTCTCCAGTCTAAAAAGTAATCTCTTAGGAACACTGTTTCTTCCTTTTTTTTAATGTTATAATCATAGCAAAGTGTACATACTTGAACGCCTCACTGCTTAGACAGTTGAGGTCTTTCTAGACTAGCCCTGTCCCTCTCGTAGCTGCTCCCCAAGAAGAGTTTAGTCTTCTTTGAAGAACTCCAGTGTCACTTACTTCGTATTGTGATTTGTCTCCTCATTAGCTTGTGAGCATCAGAAGCTCAGTTTAATCATCTTACAATACCCACTTGCCCGCACAGGACCTTGAACATGGTAGGTGCTCAGTAGCTATGCGTTGAATGTCGCTACACCTTGAGTAATCTTACATCTTTGACAATCTTTCTAAAAACTTTTCCATTATTTCAGATTGCCTCCCCAACACCACTCCTAATTCAAAGCCAAAGGAGGAAAAGTTGTTTCAAAACCATGATTTTCTATAATTTGTTGCACAGGAAAAAAAAAATTTATGTTGAAATCATGAGGTCCAATTACACTTCAATCCCAAGAATATTCCCTTTTTTTCATTTAAATATCAATCATTAAGAGAAATAACCATTTATTACACTGAATTCATTATTCATTGCTCATAAATATTTGAGTTGAATCACTCCAGATGAGATTTGGTAGTAAAATATGAAATTTGAAGTTTTGCTTCCTACTGGAATAGTTGAATTCAGAACTTTTTAAAGCATCAAGTATAGTACTTCAAGCCTGCCCCGCCTCCGCCCAAATTGTACAATGAATGAATTCAGTTTTTCCCTTACACTGGTGAATATCCATTCCTTGGAAATGGAAATCAATATCCATTTAGCTCCTCTAAAAACCAGTAGTTGCTGCCTCCTATTTCTTTCTTTCCTTCCCCCCACTCCCCCAAATACAAGCAAAAGTTTATTTAGAAAGTCACAGAGATAGAAGTGAGCTTTGGAAGAAGTGAGCCAGCTGGGCTGTGTGGGCTCAGGAAACAAGTTACAGAGACAAAAGAAGGGCCTTGGAGCTTAGGAAAAAGAAAGGCAAAGAAAATACACCTGGGGGAAAGAGATGTAAAAGGTGCTGGAGAAAGTCACAGAGATAGAAGTGAGCTTTGGAAGAAGTGAGCCAGCTGGGCTGTGTGGGCTCAGGAAACAAGTTACAGAGACAAAAGAAGGGCCTTGGAGCTTAGGAAAAAGAAAGGCAAAGAAAATACACCTGGGGGAAAGAAATGTAAAAGGTGCTGGCACAGAAAGAGAGAGAGAGAGAGAGAGAGAGAGAGAGGAAAGAATGAAGTAGGAAGAGGCACTGGCACACTCAAGAGAGAGAACGAGCCTGCTCCTATTTATTTTTATAGAAGCATAATATTATAAAATTATTAGTATATTGACTGCTGACTGGCAGGAGTATAAATCAGTTCAATTTAAATATGTAGCAAAACCTTAATTACATTTGACCCAAAAATTCTACTTCTAGGATTTTATTTAATGAAAACTAGCATGCATGAATTTAAAAAATTGCATATGTACAGTTTTTAAAAATCATAGCAATAGTTATAATAGCCAAAAATGTAGAAACAACCCATAAGCCAGTACTGAATTTGCTTAAATAGTGTTATAACTATGCAATGAAATGCTATGTAGCCATTAAAAATTCTCTTGTCAGGAAAAAAAAAAAAAGGAAAATGTTTCGTATAAATAGGTGAAAAACTCAATTACAAAAGAATGGAAGAGGAAGTGTTAGAGATGGTCTATGCTTCCTGGGTTTTTGTCTTGCTTATAGGAATGAATTCAAACAAGAGACAGTACTAAGTAGCAGCAAAGCATGCAAGAGTTTAGTTGCAAGAAAAGAAAATACATTCAGATATAGTTTGGGTGAGCAAGTAGCCTAGCTGGTGGAAGGTGAACCAAGTGCCCTGCTTGTTTTGGCATTTGAAATTTTATTCCCTGGAGTTGAGTGGTGCAAAAATACCTTCTCAGGTTTCAAGGCTGCCCCACCCGGATGTTAAGCTATGTTAGACCACATCCTGCAGGAGGTTTCAAGTCTCCCCTTTTTTCACTCGGGTCTGCTAACTTTTGGTTAACTCTTATTTGTCATGTCTCCCACATCTTCCCCTTGAACTTAGACATCAATCTGACTCATGTCTGTCCAGCTCTCTACTCTAACAGAAGGAAGGACCTGGAAGTCTATATACCAAAATGTTTCAGTGGTCCTTTCCTGAGTAATAAATAGTGCAGGTGATTTTTATTTTTTATGTCTTTTTCTGCTTTGCCAGGATTGGAGACAATAACAAGTTTTTCTTTTATTAAATTAGGCAACAGATTTTAATAAAAAGTCAAAGCAACCCAGAGTCAATCCTAATATAAACTATGGACTTTAGGTGATCATGATGTGTCAATGTAGGTTCATCATTTGTAACAAATGCATCCCTCTGGTGGGGATGTTGATAACAAGGGAAGCTGTGCATGTGGGAGTAGGGGGTGTAAAGGAAATCTCTGTACTTTCTGTTCAATTTTGCCATGAACCTAAAACTGCTCAAAAAAACAAACTCTATGAAAATAAACATAGACAGACAGATAGATAGATAGATAGATAGATAAGAAAGAAAGGAGGGAGATGGAATTCAAAGCATTAATTAGTACTAGTGTTGGGCAAAGTAATAGGTTCAGTAACTAATCTCTAGATTTTGTTAATCATCTTTATCCTGCTTCTTTCTTCTTACTCTTGCATGCACTCTCTAAATCTTCATTATAATATTGGAACTATGCCTAATTATAAGTAGTTCACATTTATATAGCTCATTAATTTATAAAACATTTTACTATGTAAGAGAAATACAATTGTCTCAAATTTGAGGGGGAAAAAAGTGGTTTAGAGTAGAAATTTTTAAAATCTTTTTTGTTGTTGAGAGTATTAACCTCATCCATCTGGATCCCACCCCACCTCTCAGGCTTTCACCACCCTATTGTCTGTGTTCATGAGTAATGCATATATGTATCAAGTTCTTTGGTTAATCTCTTCCTGCCCCACCTTCCCCTTTCCCCTAAGATTCATCAGTCTATTCCATGTTTCCGTGCCTCAAGTTCCATTTTATTCATCAGCTTATTTTGTGCATTAGATTCCTTGTATCTTTATTTTGACTTTTATATTCAATTGTTGATAGATGCTTTTGTTGTTCATATTTTTTTCTTTTTGTTAGTCCTCACCTGAGGGTATTTTTATCCCACTGATTTTTAGAGAGTGGAGGGAGGGGAAGAGACAGAGAAAGAGAGAAACATCCATGTGAGAGAAACACATCACTTGGTTGCCTTATGCACATGCCATGTTCATATTTTTAAACAGGGCTTATTTTTTCTTTTTCTTCTTCTTCTTCTTCTTAATGAAGACCCTTCAACATTTCATATAATAATAGCTTGGTGGTGATGAACTCCTTTAGCTTTTTCTGGAAGGCTCTTTATCTGATCTTTAATTCTAAATGATAGCTTTGCTGGGTAATCTTGGTTGTAGGTCCTTGCTTTTCATCACTTTGAATATTTCTTGCCACTCCCTTCTGGCCTGCAAAGTTGCTGTAGAGGAATCAGCTGACAGTTGTATGGGCATTCCCTTGTAGGTAACGAACTGGTTTTAAGATTCTTTCTTAGTCTTTAACCTTTGGCATTTTAGTTATGATGTGTCTTGGTGTGGACTTCTTTGGGTTCATCTTGTTTGGGACTCTCTGTGCTTCCTGGACTTGTATGTCTATTTCTATCACCAGGTAGAGGAAGTTTTCTGTCATTATTTCTTCAAATAGGTTTTCAATTTCTTGCTCCTTCTGGCACTCCCATGATGCAAATGTTGGTACATTTGAAGTTGTCCCAAAGGCTTCTTAAACTATCTTCATAATTTTGGATTTTTTTTTCTTTTTGATCTTCTGATTGGGTGTGTTTTGCTTCCTCATATTCCAAATCACTGATTTGATTCTAGTGTCCTCTACTCTACTGTTTATTCTCTGTAAATTATTCTTCATTGCAGTTAGTGTATCCTTCATTTCTAACTGGTCCTTTTTCATGTCTTTAATGGTTTCACTAAGTTCCATGAAATCCTCACTAACTTCCTTGACATCTCACTAAGTTTCTTGAAGCTTTCATTAAGTTCCTTGAGCATCCTTATAACCATTGTTTTGAACTCTGCATCTATTAGTTTGCTTGCTTTCATTTCATTTAGTTCTTTTTTTGGAGATTTCTTCTGTTCTTTAATTTGTGACATGTTTCTTTGTCTCTGCATTTGGGCTGCTTCCCTGTGCTTGTTTCTGTTTATTAGGCAGAGCTGCTATGTCTCCCAGAATTGGTAGAGTGGTCTTGTGTCGTAGGTGTCTTGTAGGGCCTAATGGCTCAGCATTCCCATTCACTTAAGCTGGGACTCTAGGTGTACCCCTGTGTGGGTTTTTTGCACTATCCTGTTGTAGTGGAGCCTTGATTGCTGTTGGCCTCACTGGGAGGAATTGACTCCCAGGCCAATTGGCTGTGAGGACCAGCTGTGACTACAGTGGAAGAGCTGCTGTGCAGAAGCTGACCCTATGGAGCAGGGGCTTTGGTGTTCACCGAATCTGCCCCTTGAGTGTGTCACTTGTGGATATGGTAGAGCTGTAATCTGGTGTGGTTTGAAGCTGTCCACTGGGTGCTCTGGGGCCTCCTGTGAGGGATAAAGTCAGCCATTGCCTGTGCCCTGCCTAGAGCCACATGGCATGAGCTACAGAACAATCTGAAGATAGTTGCTACTTGTGTGGGGCTTGGAAGTGCCCAGGAGAGGCCAAGTTCTAAACCTTAGCAAGCTGCTTCTAGTGCCAGTCCTGGGACCACTTATTGAGAAATATAGGACACACTGAGTTCAGCTGCTGCTTGTTTGAGAGATATTAGGAAAATCTGAAGCCTGAGCCAGAACAGGCCATTCATATGGAAAAGCTATAGCAAATAGCTTTGGTGGGGCTGGAAATTGGGTGGGGCAGGATCTCTGGGAATCATCAGGGTGGGGTGAACAATGTGGGCCAGGTTGATGGAGACTCAGATATAGTGCCTGCCAGTCAGCTCTGTGTGGGGGAAGGTCCCAGAACTTTTGTCTGGGAGAAAGCTGCCCAGAGTTCTTGCCCAGATGCCAGACAATTTAGTTCCTTCCTGTATATCCCTGGATCTTTCAGGCTGTTGCCCTAGAGCTGGAGCTCAGAAGGAGTGAGTTCAAGTAAGTTCATGTGTGGGCCCTTTAAGAGGAACTTCCTGGGACTCCAGCAGACTCCGTGCCACTCAGCCACAATCCCCACTGCTTTTTTCAGC